GTTTGAAGTTTTTGTCATAAATCAGCATATAATATAATTAAGTTGGTGTGTACCTGTGATTTCAGAAGCTGAGACAGGAGGGTTGAGTTCAAGGCTAGCCTGAGCTACACATAGAGACCCTGCTCCTCTCCTCCACTAAGGAAATAAAAAAGGACACACCTCTCAAGCAGTCCACAGCTCTTGTCAGCCAGCCCTCTGTGTGCATGTGTGCCTAGGATTATGCTCATCAAGTCTGACTGCTTAGGACGGTGATTAGAAGGGACCAGATCTTTACAGTGAGCCCGCCTCACGGTGAGCCCGCATCATTTTACAGGAACAAAGTAACTTTTCCAAAACAAAAAAAAGAAGGGCAGACTGGAAGTCAATATCCTTTGTAAAAACTGTTGGTTTGTGAAGGCAGGGGATATGAATTATAGGGTGTTTTGTTGTTGTTGTTGTTTGTTTGTTTACTTTTAAAATAAAAGAGATCAACAGAAGGTCTCCTCAGCACACATATTTCAGTGGCAACCAATGTATCTGTGTGTCAGGGTCGTCAGTACAGACAGTGCTGACAGTACAAACAGTACAGACAGTGGCATCCGTGGTGCTGGCTGTGACTACAGAGGCAGGATAATGATCTGCAGTCTTACTGGTTCAGCAGCCACCATTTATGCCCAGAATACTTCCGAGACACACAATGTTGTTACGTTTCCCACTGCCCAGAGGAATCCTCATTAAATACTAGGAGCTCAGAGGGACTGGGGTGGGAAGGCAATGCTTCCAAGAGAGAGGCTTTAGTGACCTCTGAGGAAGGGCCTGTGAGACCCGCAGCGTCAGGGTGGGGTTGGACCTGCTCTCTGCAGCCTGCTGCTTGCTGGCAAGCAGCAATTAGCCCTCGGTGCATTTCTTCCTTCAAAATCAAAGTCTCGCAAACAAAAACCACCCAGGAAATTGACAAGAATTAAAACGTAGGGGGAACATCCAAGAGTAGAAAGAAAAAACAAGAAGTGGTGGTGTACAGAGGCTGCTTCCTCTCGTGCTCCTTTCCCTTGCTAATTTACCTCGAAGCAGTCAGCACAGCTGTTTCAGCGCGAGGCTTTCTAGTGATGCTCTCAGAGGCACATCTCACTGTAACTAAATAAGGCAGCCACAGCCTTAGACTCCCGCAGATGGAAATTTACCTGTATGATACCGCTGTCTACCTCTTTCCTCTAACTCAGATGCGGAAGTCATTTTCCGTTTCCCCCTCTCTTCTCCAGTGTGACATCTGCTTAGCCTGTTGCCTCCCTTGATGTGGTACTCCCTTCAAACATGACCGTCCCTCATCCCTTCTACCAGAGCAGGCCCTGTGCCCAGGCAGAAACCATTGTTCCTCACAGTCTCCCTACAACCCACATTTCCTTCATTTCCACACAAAGCAGTAAGAATTATCTCCCCCAAACAGCTGTTTTCTGTAATAAGAAAGCGAAGTTCTGTGACTAAGCTAAACAGCCCTCCTGTTCAAGGCCCGAACCGCTTCTTAGATGCAAGTTCTAGCAAATTGAAATTTCCAAACACCATTTATTATGCCTTTTGTTAATTGCTCAGAGAACTTTCAAGTATCTGCCCACATTTTTCTGCATATTCAAATTTAGTTTTTATTCCATTTAGTACACAAGCAGTTCTTACACGCCTAATCCGCCTTCTGCTTATGCCCTTCCCTGCTGTGGTAGAGATTACTTTACTGTCTATTTACTCTCCCCTTCTCTCTAAATAAGCATAGTTGACACACAGCTTCCAGATCTCGCTTGAGACTAGCAGTGTCCACGTGGCTGGGTGATAAGTAACATGCAAGGGAAAATGTAGATGTCACTTGACAGGATGAGGCAAATTCTTCCCATTAATGAGAGAATACGGATGTGATGCTGCTGCCCAGGTAGCTATGCTCCATGAGCTTGGTACGGCAATGAGACGGAAAGAACCTGAAGCTGCTAATATCCCAGGGAGCCGCATCCTCGTCCTCAAACACCTACCCCACTACATTTAAGCCGTAGGGTTCCTGTGGCCCCCTGGAATAGCAATAGCTCATGACATGTGACTACCCACTTCACATGCATTTCTCCATCTCCCATTTGCTACTTCGCTCGTGCCAGTAAGGAGACTCCTGCCCAATTCATCTCCTTTTTCTTATTCTTGTCCTCAAATGTCTGCTTTATTTCTTCCTTTAAAGTGCAGCTTGAGATCCAACCCCTTCACGGAAATGGTACTTCATCTACACTGACTCAGTCCAGTGACTTCCTTCTAAATAAACGCATACATCTATCTAGCCCAGCCGGGTTTGTGCTAACAGGGCTCCAGCAGCGTCTGCATCCAAACATGCACTTCCAGCAGTACTTCCCACGGCGTCGCTCCTGGACCCCGCTGTCATGGAGCCGACTTGAGAGTCCAAGTACATCTTGCTATGTCACTTCCACGACAGCGGAAACACCAGATTTGCTTACCACACCTAGTGTAGTGCCGGGCAGGCCATTCTCTATGTGTGTGTGCTGCTAAATGCATTTCATTATAACGAAGCTCCAGAATTTAGTTCTCTTTTGCAGCATGGTCCAGCTGTGTGGCACAGGTTAGCTTCGAGCTCGGGCCTCCTGACTGGGTTCCTTAGTACTGCAGTTTCAGTTATGTGCCACCATGTCTTAAGTTCATGATTTAAAAAAAAAAAAGCCATTCAGAGCTCTTCTTGGTGACTGAGGTATGCTGTAACATTGGGAGATATTGCCTGGATCATCTTACTCTATGAGTATAAATTAACAAACCAGAATTTCTTATATGCCTCACAGACATGGCACACATGGATGAGTTACTTCTGAGTAACTAGGGACTCGTTTCGTTAGCTTGTTGTCAGCCAAGCTGTGTCTGGCTAGAGGCAGGAGCACGTGACCCTCCTGTTCCTTTACTGGGCCACCTGCTTCAGCACTGCACCCAGGTCTCTGCTTAAATTCCCCTCCTCCAAAATGCTGCCCCATCCCATATCTGTCCTCAGATAAAGCCATCCCTGTCACTCTGGCTCTGACTGCTTTCCCTTTTGATCAAGGATGCACTACTATCTGACATGCTTTATGTTATTCTGAGCATGCTTGCCCACAGGCTGGCCTCAGCCACAGAAGCTCTGTGGGGAAGGGCACTTGACTCCCTCACTGCTGTTGCCTCCACTGCTGCAGGGCATTCAGATTCCAAGTAAGAAAGCCCAAGAGACAGGGGGTCAACCAGTGACAGAAGGGCCCAGGAGATGGCTCCAGTGGTAAGGGCCTACCACACAAACATGAGGACCTATATACTCCATATGACTTGCCAGTGAGCACGTTTACCCCACAGAGTTGGATAGAGACAAATGCTAAGAGCACAGAAGCTGGACTTTACGTCAGTGCCCGGCTATCGAGCAGGGAGCCCCGAAGCCATGTCAAAAGCCAGGTACTGCAGCAGTCTGTAATCCCAGCACTGGGGCAGAGACAAGGAGCTCCCTGGAGCTTCTGACCAGCCACCCTGCTTGAACTGACAAGACCCGGGCTCAGGGAGCCACCCTGTCATTAAAAAAAAATAGTGGGGCTCAGTTGAGCCTCAATACTGACATTGGCTTCCAGTACCCTCAACACACACACACCTACATGTTCATACCTCTCTCTCTCTCTCTCTCTCTCTCTCTCTCTCTCTCTCTCTCTCTCTCACACACACACACACACACACACACACACACACACAGACACGGAAGAGCAAGAAAGATGTCAGAAAACACCAAGAGTGAATAAGCTCAGGAGAGTCGTGGCTGGTGTCACACTTCTTAGTGTCAGCTGTGGGGTGCTTATTCCAAAATAAATGGGTCCCCTGAAAAAAATGTTCCACTCCTTCTAAAAGTATTTTGTGGTATTTACTGTTCTAATTACAAAGAACCACTTTTAATGCCTTTCTTCATCAGTGACCCACAGCTACAAGCTGACCCTAACAAAGTCAGGGGAGGACGAGCTCAGGATCAGTTTGTGTTGACATAACTGCTGACATTTAAGTTTCTGTGCTTTGCTGACAATTGGGGTTCACTGCTCATGTTAGATCCCTGCAGCTCTTTTGGGGTTTTGTGTAACAGATATCTTGGTGGGTTGTCTGCTAACAGCACCATGAAATGGGTGAGTCAGAAATAACAGTACTCGTTTCCAAACATGGAATGCCTGCACTCGGAGTGTTTGCAAGGTCAGGCCCTGAGAAGACGCCTCTTCCCACAGCAGCAGTGCCATAGCATCTATGCTGTGAGCAGGAGGTGGCCTCAGAAACCCTCGGATGCCCACTTTTAGCATAGAGTTTAGTTGCTTTTAAGGAGCAGCTAAGACTAAGCCAGACTTCACCCATGTTCTTCCTCTCACCCATGTTCTTCCTCTCACCCATGTTTTTCCTCTCCTAACCACCTGCCCACCTTTGTGCACAACTCATCAGCAGGTGCTGGAGAAGCTACGGCAAGAGGGCATTCTTCGATGTTTCAGAAAGATCACTAGGAAGGATCATTTCCTTTCCATTATAGCATATATCTCCCCTACCCTTGCTTTTAAAGTTCAGCAATCCAGAGTCAAAGTTTTAGGCAAAGGGAAGCCTTACAAAGAGCCATGCTAGAAAAATATTTAAATTATGTTAGACTCTTCATCACACTTTTTAAAACATGCCCATGTACCCAGTCCCCAATTCCAAGAAAGTAAGCCTCCTTCATATTCCAGTTAGAAAAATATTAAGCTGAAAATAAAGATGCCAAAAACAATAGCCACTAAGCTAATGGTTTTAGCTAAAAACCATTTTATATGAATTCAAAAGCAACGCGTTCGGAAAACTTCCATCCAACTGTCTACTGAACACACTCCTTCACCTCTGCTCCCTGCAGAACGGAGTCTAACAGTGGGATGTTCGTGCGACACAGTGTTGGTGTCTGTGTGAAGCTGGTGTCTTATGTCTCTAGCTGTTCTCAAAGGACACCTGTCACGTGTTAGGCCACTGCTTATAGTACGCACTTTTATTGCAGAGACTTGCAGTCTTCTTGCAATCTTGCGCGAGATTCTTCTCCGAGGTAAGGCTTTCCGGGATGAGGACCGAAGCGCATGCTGAAGGTGAGTTCCCCGTGGCAGGTAATCTGTTGGGAAATGACATGGAGTAGGAGGTCCGCTGCCTCGTCCAAGTCGCCACTTCCCTCTCTTTATAAAGCAGCTGCTCGTCCATCAGCAGAGTTATGACCTGCTTAGACCTCTCCCGGATATAGCGACCTGAAAAACACCCAAGAGTTCGCTTAAAAATGGAAAAGTTGATTAAAACTATAATTTATTTTATTCTAAAGAAAATGAAGGAGAATTGACAATGTAGCAAAGTGGAAAGACAAGAAGATTGTCGGCGACACGCTCCTCTCTGTGCCCACTGAGCAAACACATCATCAGTACTTGATGGGATTGCATCTTATCTGGCATTACACTTTTCATTTTAAATGCATTATTGGATTTTTCGTTGGGAAGCCATCCACACGCTGCAATAAATCAACGAACAAGGCACACAGAGAAGGTTTGAGCATGAGGCTAGGAGATTGCTCAGTGGGTAAAGTGCTTGCTGTGGGAGCAGGAGAACCCGCGTCTACATCCTGGAAGCCACCTAAAATCCAGGAGTAGCAGCACTTGCCTACGACCTTCTTGCTGGGGAGCCTAGACAGGAGGCCAGAGGCTCACCGACCAGCCAATCTAACCAAACTGGCAAGCTCTGGGTTCAGTGAGACCCTGTCTCAAAAAATAAGGTGGAGAAGAATCAAAAAATTAGGTGGAGAAGAATTGAGGAAGGCACCTGTCTCAACTTCCGGCCTCCACATGCACCTGCCCAGATGGCCAAGTGTGTGCAGTCTCCAGTCTCAGCTCTTAACCACTTCTTCCTCCCAAATTTCCTTTATATTTTTTTCAAGCCATGTTCTAAACACCCCTCGTTTCTGGTGGACACCTCACAGTCCCTAACTGGAAAGGCCCACTGTGTGTTGGGCTCTCTCAGTGTCTTATGAAAGGCAGAAGTCTGCTGGAGCTCTTGGAAATAATGTCAGACATGGTCTTTCCTTGAGGACAGGGGCAGTGTTTAGATTTGGAGATTTTAAAAAATCTGTCATGCTACCCCTTTCTCCCCGATCAGTACCTCATCCTGCAGCCCTGAGCCTCTTACCAATAACACAGAAACTCGGGCAGCTGTTGCTTTCTGCAGAAACTCTCCATGGCAGGATCCCTGACACATCCAGTCTCTCCTCAGATACCACTTCCTCCTGGGAGCTGCGTTTCTCCTGCCGCCCTCTGAAGAAGCCCCACCTCATCAGTCTATCCCTCATCCTGATTTGTTTCTCCCTGTGGCATCTGTCGCTGCCCACTGTCACCTGTGTGTTCCCTTGTTGTTTGCTTCCTCTCTGGGAACATAAACCCTGTGAGAGGAGTCTCACTGCAGACACTGACGGCACAAAAGATATATTCAATAAATATTTACTGAGTGAATGAATTAAGAAAGAAACATTATCAAAAAGTTTCGAATGTTCTCCTTGCTATGGTGTAAATGAAGCAGATTGCTGAAAGATGCTGGGAGCCAATTTACAACTTAGCTGCCTGAGAAAGTTGCTTGACTTAAAATAGCCTCCTGCAATACCCCCGATTAGAAACTAGGAATCATGGGCTAGAATTGGAACATTCTACTTAGAGTCTGTGGGGATTGGTGGGATGCAGAGGCTCACTCGCTCCAAGTGGCAAGCAAGCACAGCAAGCAGAAAGTTAGCTGCCCTGTTGGAAGCCCCCTCCTTGGAGCATCTGACTCCCCCAAGGGAACAGAAGCAGCTTCAGGAAGGCCAGGTACTGCATTCTACCCCAAATAGGAGAGAACTTACCCGGGAGTGGGCATCTCATTTAACTCTGCCTAATTCCCCAAGTTACCATTCTGCTGCCCTCTACACCAGCCCGGGCTCCTCTAAAGCACCACAGTGAGAAGTAAGAAAAGCCAAGAAGAACCCCTAAGTCTGTTCCAAGGAGGAGATAGACAAACACCAAGAGCATCCACTCACTTCTAAGCAATATGCTTCTGAAAAGACTCGAAGGAAGACACATCATAAAACCCTAACAGTACAGGAAGGACAACAGCTTCCTGTCTGAAAGAAGAAAGGAATGGGGCAGGGTTAGAAACACAGATTATCTGAACTAAGTTTCACTCTAGTCTGAGCGCTCCCTCTTCTTCCTCTAAGCTGAAGGAATCCTTGTGGATGACTGATTGGCACAGTTTGAAGCAGTCATGTGTGTTGTTATGGCAGGGGGTCGGGACTACAATACACAACCTCCAGTGGAAAAGCACAGCACAGGGCTTCGAGATGACTTGGCAGTTAAGAGTACTGGTTGCTCTTGCAGAGGACCCAGGTTCAGTTCCCAGCACCCACGTGATGGCTCACAACCATGATGAACTCTAGTTCCAAGGGATACAGCACTCTCCTCTGGCCTCCATAAGCACCAGGCATTCACATGATACGCATACATCATGCAGGCAACACACACGCATAAAGTAAAGATAATAAATATTTTTAAGAGAAAAGCACGAAATGTGACAAAAAAATATTAACAAACACATATAATTAATAAAGACCTAGAACAGAGGCAAGATGAATATGTGGTAAGTCATTTCTCTACCCGTGAAATGAGCCGATTCAAGCTGGATTAGAGTATATTAAATGCAGGCTTTGCTCCAGGAGGGCAAGGTCCCTGGTGCCAAGGAAGGAGAGAGGGGAGGGGGAAAAGAGAGAAAAGGAAAAGGGGAAAGAACAGGAAGAGAGGGAGAACCCACAATGTCTGGGTTAGATAGCAAAAAGCCTCTGGGGGAAGGGCAGCCCAGCCCCTGGGCTGGAAAGTTCTAGGTTGAGGGTGAAGTATGCCAGGTAAGGGACTGAGGGATGCTGGGAGAACCTGGAGGCCAGGTTTGCTCTGATAAGTAAAATATGCAACCTTAGCCCCTTGTCCTGGGTCTGAAACCTAACAACAAGAAAGAAGGAGGGCCAAGCAGAAGGCCAGCCTGGGCCCTCTCAAACACAAGGAGGGCCAAGCAGAAGGGCCAGCCTGGGCCCTCTCAAACACAAGGAGGGCCAAGCAGAAGGGCCAGCCTGGGCCCTCAAACATAAGGTCAGAGACAAGGAGACGAGAACCACTAGAGCTTCTGCACAGTCACTGAGTCATCCCTCGAGCAGCTGAGAGAGTGTCCTGAGCACTGAGGACACGGCAAGAAAAGGGGACAAGTGCACATGTTCACTCCTTTAGAGCTGTGCCATGGTTGGAAGCTGCCCATTTGATAGATGGCCTCTCCTCCAACATCCACAGAGGCCAGAACTCTACTTGCTTGTCCCCAGGACATTTAAGGAGTGTGTGAAATGGAGACACATGGCAAGGAATGTTTCCCAAATGCTGGGGAAGGAGAATCTCCGAGGTCCTGGGCATTAAAGTTTCTTACAGAAGAATGTGTGCACTGAGCGACACATCTGCCTTCAACAACACTCAGGAGATATGTTAACATCCTGTCTCCCTCCTGAGCAGCCCTACCCACAGCCCCTCTTCTTGTGGGATTCCTTTTGTAGTAAATTTTACTTACATTCTAAGTGAGGAATATGAACATACAATGCCCCTCCCCCATTCGGACAGCAGGTCTACCAACCAAACCCACCAACTCTCCTCCCTCTCCATCTCCCCAACCAAA